TGATCCCACTACATTGCACAAATAAAACTCATCTTGAAACTTACTCACTTTCCTAGGATGAAGTCTGATTATTGAAATTTGGAGTTTGCTGCCGCTTTGTCAGAACTCGTAAAAACCCACAGCTTGCCTGCTTTCATTTTTTCAGCACCGGACATAATAAAATATATTAACTCTCCTTAGAAATCTCACTTAACTGAAATTAAACACAGTAATACCCCCATTCTGTAACTTCCCTGAACTCAGTTATCTAGCGGAAGAACATGAACAGAACTAGTAGGGCCTTGTACAAGATCACTGGCATATCTTCTGTGCCAACACTCCTACCGAATTTAAATTGTTGTCCCAGCTTGCGAACTACAAGAAAAAAAACAATGACATTAAGGTATCTGAAGCATGACTTCAAACTATGGAATGGCAGTTGTCAGACTACATATTATTTATGAATATTGAAAATGTTAGTTTTCTCAAAATGTTTCTACTTTGGTTGCTCACAAGATGAAATCTACTATGTCTTTTAACCAGTCAGTCCATACATTTGCAAATAAATCTTCAGAGGAAAGAAACATGCCAAAAATGGGAATTATAGTACAAACAGTAACTTACAGTAAAATATGAAAATACTTAGGCACAGATTTTTCTGTGCCTGTGTCCAATTTACAGCAATGACGTGATAAACAAGATGCAATATGGCAAATGTCAGCTTTTTTATGTATAAAATTATAAAACAGTTTTCTATATCTAAAAATGGATCTGAAATTTTTTTGCAGGGTACAACTGAAAATAAGGGCTCCACCCTTTATATGGTCATTATGAAATATCATCTGATGAGTATCTGAACATATTCTTTGAAACTGATTTACAGAACATGTAATGTAATGTTCTGTAACATGATTATCTTGCATATAATACTGCACAACCGAATTGTAATTTCTTGCTTGCTAGCTTCTAAAACTGCAATTCAGCATATGTATTTGTCAAAATCCCTATAGTAACATAAAATATTGTACAGAATAACATTTTTGTGCCAATCTGCAATAACATTGCTTTTCAGTTTGCAGAGCTGTGTGAGTAGGAACTGACAACTTCACATTTGCAGGTGAATGCTGTCAAATGTAACTCGTGTTTCCCTATAATTTAATTTGGGATCCCTATTAGAACGGATTCCAGAAAACTTTTAATAATAGTTTAGGGATTGTGAATGTATAAATGTACAACTTCTCAAACTCTTAGAAAGCAAATGTTTTAGCATGTGAAATCAATATGTCATTTTACACATATTTTGAGTACGGTATTCAGGGTACATGACCACAATATCATTTGAGCATGAAAAACAATGTATTCGCATAGCCACACTCCAAAAAACCGTAGTTCAGTGAATAATACCATGTTATGAGAGCCTTTTGTCACCGACTTCAAGGTAAATATAACTAACTAACATTTAAATACCTGCTAATTTTGAAGAACAACCACACAAACAGTTAAAATCTTATAGGAATATAAAGAGTGATTTCTGTTTCTGTTGGGTTTCTGATCTTTATTAAGTTGTACTGATGCACACAAATGAGCCAGGATAGTAAGTTTCTCAACCCTAATTGTAATATAGGCTAACAGTGCATTCATTTTCAAATATAGGTAGGGGTTTGCAGCTATCTTCACTGAGAAACTCGTATTCCACTGTGATGTATTTTCATCATATGACTGGATGGGCAGATACCATGCAGTCAAACGAGTCAGGCATGAACCACCGAATTAGAAAACACATGCATATTCCACGATAGTGCCTCCAATTTTGTCATGATACTGGAGAAAACCTGAGTGTCTCAAACCTTCCAAATGTTAAATAGTATACTGAAAATATGAGGCTAGAAAAAAGCAATTCTCTTTTTTTAATGACCAGAATTAATCTCTGCAGAAGCCTAAGAAGAAATGCTATGCTTTAGCCACAGCATGAAGGCTTCGTACTCTTCTAAAACACGTGCTTCATTTTAGTCATGAATTCTTCTGTTCCAGTAATTTCTGTACCAAATTCTATGACACAGATTTTGAATATAGATCATGGAATGATTTTCTGATTTTAAAATCTACAAAACAATATTCTGCCTTTCTGATTCTCTTTCTACTTTACAGGCCGCCACTTCAGTGTCTGAATCATTTCATGGGCTTCCTCATAGAAGCAGTTAGAATCAGGGTAATTTTCCTTTAGTGTTTTCTTTTTGATAACTTCATCTAATAACTAGTTTTGTTCCAGCCTCTATTTACATTTAATTTTATAACCTGTTGCTCTGAATCAGTTCCAACTCTGACACTACCTGTCAAAAACATTAAAGTTTTTTCTCACTGCTTCCCAACACTTTTGCTTGCTGACTGGACCACTGTCTTGTTTCCATCTGACTCTGAAAGTAAATCCTAATGCTGTGTCTTTTTCATACACAAATAAATTCTGTGGGTTTTTTTCCCAGATACCTCAAGCCTTTAAAAATGAGTCTTACAGCTAGTATTTTGAAGGTCTTTACACCCAAGAGAGAAATGTTACAAGTGACACAACAACTCACAGTTCTTCAATCTCTTTCCAAATCCAAATCATTATCGTAGCTTCTCTTCTCTGCCAAAAAGTACACAGCTCCACATGCCACTTTCTGTGGACCCTTCCATTACAGTCCGTGTGTGCCTTCCTGTCTCACGCGTCATCTCATGTAGCATTTCAGAGCTAACGCTACGCGAGAGCCATCTACACTCCCTAAACTTTGGCACAACGCAGGTTTTTCTCAGCTAAGTGCTTTGTCAGAGATTTTACCTTACGTTTTGAAACTGATCTCTTTGCTGGGGCTTAGTCCCCCCAAATACCATACCTTTCAGATACTTTATCTTCATTTCTGTGCTCTGCCTGAAGTGTATTACTGGTATGCTTCCCTTCTACTTGGACTGCAGTAAATTCAGTAATACAGTTTCATAGCTGGCCTCCTCTTGATATACGTGAAAATTACTAAAAATATGAAGTGCTTCTTAAATAGGTCTTGTCAGAAATAAAACTGCTTTCTATCTTCCTTTGCCAGACACTCATTATTACAGATATATAGGAAAGCGGTGTTTAAGCCTTTTCCAGCTGTCCTCCACATTTCCAGAGTTTCAGCATTTGGGGGACTTTTAACGATTACATCTTTCTACTCACGCGGAGGAGGTTTTTCTGGTTCATTTTACTCTTGTTCTTTAGAAATCAGTCAGAGAGGTGGAGTCTGACAGTTCGGAGTTTCATTTCATTTCTAAACGATGAGGATGAAATTTATAAAATGAGACCATCATCACAACTGTCACTCCCAGCAGGCTCCTAAAGTGCAATTCCTCCCACCACGGCTATACTTCATCTGAACCGTGACGGTTCCAATACATCCTGTTAACGGGGAAAAAGACGAGTGCTGCTGGAGCGAACACCGGCCCGAGAAAGCGGAAATGGCTTCAGCGGGGTAACGGCACACCACCATCGGGATGGCTGCAGGAAGGCGCGTACAGACGTACAGGGAACAAATACGCAGCTCAGCAGAGTGGTGTGAAATTCTCCTTTTATTAAAGCAAAGAAAATAATTTTAAGCAGAGATAGGAGGATAATGAGCGAGACAATAAGCCGACGTCACCCGAAAAGCATGAGGCGGCCGGAAGAGGGGAGCCGGCCACCGAGCAGCTCACCGGTGGCCCCAGCAGCCCACGCACAACGGGCGGCCGCTGCGCTACCGCAA